AAACGAGTCAACGAGCTTGAAGGCTACATTAACCAGCTGCGCCGAGACATTCAAGCTCGCGATGATAAGCTGGATCAACGCTACTCTGAAGTTCAGCAGTGGACCAGCGAGTGTGACCGCTTGCGGCGGGATGTCGAAAACGCTCGCTCCCACCAGCAGGAAGCCGCCGCCGAACATCAAGAGGCCATGAAACGTGAGAAGCTTTTGGTCCAGGACCTTCGCTCACAACTCTCGGCCATGGAAACCGAAAAGGTACATCGACAAGCACTGGAAAAATGCCCTTGAGCTTGCTGCTTCAGCATTCATCTCATTTTGATGCGCTTTTTTTCCAAATTGTCCTCGTGCAGAGCATTGCCGTGGCAGCCAAGACAGACCTCATTCAAGACGTAGCCCGCCTGCAGCGGCAGCTTGAGGAGAAAGATGATCAATTGCGTCGCATGACCCGTGCCCTAGAGGAGAAGGATCAGTATCTGGCAGAAGCGGCGCCATTTGTACGCGAAGCCCAACGCCACCAGCAAGGCTATGGCTCATCAGCTCAGGCCGCGCCGACCAAGAGCCGCAAGGTATTTGACCAACGAACATTGCTTCATCTCGTCCAGGTCCAGTTTGACTCATTCTTGAATTCTGCCCGTCCTCTTCTGTCGTTCCTAGAGCGGTGGCCGACTTATCGCCAATACCGTGCAGCCCACGCTCAACCTCGGAAAGTCCAAGTGGCGCTATTAAATTGCCTTTTGTCCCCGTTGGTGCTTGGGTGGCGCACCGCAGCATCATGGTTATCTGAGTTTGACACTTCAATGTCGGTGATCTTGTTCGTGTTTTTGCTGTAAGGCTGTGGAGTCTTTGTATCTTGCTTTTTTTTTTTTTTTTTTGCTGTTTTTGGTGCATTCCATGCTTGTACTTGGTTGCGCTTCAAATGTTCTTTTGGTTGTTCCTGTTGTGCTAGTTTATCAATTTTTAATAACATCTGGATGTTGTCTTGGTTTTGACGCGTCTGCCACAATCATTCCAAGCCGACTTGGATAGCTCCGTGAAAAAAGCTTGTTTTCGATCGCACACAGCTAGATTGGTGGACACAAGGAGCAGAGAAACAAGTCACGGTTCTGGCTTTGCATGGGGCAAGTCACCATAGATCCACCATTTTCAGTCGATTGAGGAGAGCGGGAGCTCGGGGCTATTATCACGTTGGGGCATCGGCTCTGATATGATGTGCAACTTCACCGGACAGCTATTGGTGCCAGTTCACACACGGCAGCCGAGGGATGCTATAGAGAGGCTAGACATTGCTGGCACCAAAAGCCATGCCAATACAGCTGCCTATTTGTAAACTTAAAAAGGTCATTTGTGCTGTAGTTGTGCACACCCCTCTGCAATGAAGCGAGACAATGACGTTTTTCCAGGTGAGAATGCATTTGTCGATGACAATATGGACGGGCAGGGAGAAAAGACGTCGCATGAATGCATTCACACGGCTCCACGTACTCGGCAGAGTGCTCACAGCTGTGCTGCATGGTGACGGCGCAGGTGACTGTGTGAAAGCCGCCCAGGAAGGAGGCAAGAGCAAACCACAGGAGAACGAGGGTGTTGGTCTCGCTCCAAGCGCCAAGCCAGCTCCAGCTGTCTCTGGGCAAGTCGACGTAGCACATAAGGCCGACCAGCATAGCGATGCGGATCAGCAGCATAACAAAGCTTGGGTGATAGGAGGTTTGTAAGAAGCGTAGCGGCTTGATGTGCCCACAAGAATCAGCGCCAGCGCGGCCGATAAAGGCGCTGAGGGAGAAGGCAACGAGCAGCATGGTCGGGAGATACTTGACCCAGAACTCGGACGACATGTTGGTTGGTACGCGGGGGGCCAAGGCGCACATGTAGCTCGTGATAGCCGCTGTGGTGAGCAGCATGATGCAGCCCGGAAGAATTAAATGTCGAATCCGCCGCAGATAGCTCCAGTTGTGGGCGAGTGTGCCGGCGGTTTCGCCCGAGCGATGTCCGTTGTCATACCAAATGGCGCGCAGCGCCCGCTCGCTTCTTAAAACCGCCACAGCGCCCAGCGAGAGAGCCATGAGGACGGCTGCGATGGGAAAGATCACCTGCGTGGCGGACGCAGGAAGAGTAAAGGAGCGGATTGTGAGAGGGCAAGCATGGCAGTATGAGGGCAAAGCCATCATCTAGTGCTCGAATCAAGCTTCAGGGAAAGTGGAGGGTGGCTTGCACTCATCCCGACCCGACCTGCATGGAGAGGTAGGTAACGCGCTGTGCTTCACTGTCCGTCTCGACGCTCAGCATCTTGGGCAGCAAGGCGACCTGTTGTGGCAGGTATGAGGAGAATGAGGAGGAGAATGAAGGGGAGAATGAGGGAGGGGAAGTGAGGAGGAGAATGAAGGGGAGAATGAAGGGGAGAATGAGGGAGGGGAAGTGAGGAGGAGAATGAGGGAGGGGAAGTGAGGGAGGGGAAGTGAGGAGGAGAATGAGGGAGGGGAAGTGAGGGAGGGGAAGTGAGGAGGAG